GATTACAGGCACACGCCACCACAGCCAGCTAATTTTTGTATTTTTAGTAGAGACAGGTTTTTACCACGTTGGCCAAGATGGTCTCGATCTCTTTACCTCATGATCTGCCCAGCCTCCCAAAATGCTGGGATTACAGGCTTGAGCCACCGTGCCCAGACTTTTTTTTTTTTTTTTTTTTTTTGAGACAAAGCCTCGTTCTGTTGCCCAGGCTGGAGTACAGTGGCATGATCTCAGCTTACTGCAACCTCTGCCTCCCAGGTTGGAGCAATTCTCTTGCCCCAGCCTCCCAAGTAGCTGGGATTACAGGTGCCTGCCACCACGTCCGGCTAATTTTTGTATTTTTAATAGAGATGGGGTTTCACCATGTTGGCCAGGCTGGTCTTGCACTCCTGGCCTCAAGTGATCCACCCGCCTTGGCCTCCCAAAGTGCTGGGAATACAGGCATGAGCCACTGTGCCTGGCCAGATCATTGGGTCTTAAAAATCAGAGTAGTAGTTCCCTGTGGGGGATGAAACTGACTAAAAATAGATACAAGGGAACTTTATGGGATGAAAGAAATGTTCTGGATCTTTAGCCACATTAATAGATGTGTACATTTGTTGAAATTCATCATATCGTACAGTTAAATGTGTACATGTTACTGACTATAGATTATAGCTCAGTAAAATAGTGTAATTAAAGTAGAGTATGGGCCGAGTGCAGTGGCTCATGCCTATAATCCCAGTACTTTGGGAGGCTGAGGCAGGTGGATAATGAGGTCTGGAGTTCAAGACCAGCCTGGACAATATGGTGAAACCCCGTCTCTACTAAAAAAATACAAAAATTAGCCGGGTGTGGTGGCGGGTGCCTGTAGTCCCAGCTACTCGAGAGGCTGAGGCAGGGAACTGCTTGATCCTGGGAGGTGGAGGTTGCAGTGGTGCGATCTCAGCTCACTATAATCTCTGCCTCCTGGGTTCACACCATTCTCCTGCCTCAGCCTCCCGAGTAGCTGGGACTACAGGTGCCCACCACCACGCCCAGCTAATTTTTTTTTTTTTTTAAGTAGAGACAGGGTTTCACCATGTTAACCAGGATGGTCTCGATCTCCTGACCTCGTGATCCACCTGCCTCAGCCTCCCAAAGTGTTAGGATTACAGGAGTGAGCCACCACGCCCGGCTAAGTAGAGTAATTTTCATATGAATGTAACAATAATCAAAAAATAAAATTAAAAAACCTTCCATGTGAGGATTAAACAGCACATCAGATGTAACCTAAGAGAGAATTAGTGAACTGGGACAGACTGGAAGAGATTACCTGAATGTATTACCAAGACACAAAGAGATGAAAAATATAGAAGACAGGTTAAAAGACACGGAGGACAGAATGAAAAGATCTAGAACACTCCTAATCAGAGTTGGCAAAGGAGAGAGCACAGAGGACGGAGGAAAAATAATATCCGGATGGTTTCTGAGAACTTTCCAATATGATAAAATATGTGAATTCATACATACAGGAAATACAACATACTGAGCAGAACAAATAGAATACATAAATATCTAGATACATTGTAATAAAACTGCAAAACACTAATGACATCTTAAAAGCAGGGAGTAAAGAGAGATCATCTACACAACAATGAGGATTAGACTGAGGAGACTTCTTTACAACCAACATATATCATGCCTATTATATGCCCACACTGTCCTAGGTACTTAGAACACAAGCATGAACAAGCCCCTACCCTGTGGAGCTACAGAACCTCTATCAGGGATCGCAGATGTGCAGGAACAATTATAGTGTGATGAGCGATCCTGGTTGGAGGGCAAAAGAATCAGCAAGAAAACAATACCATAGAACAGCATTATGAAGATTTTCCTATCCCACATAGGATCCACACAGGGATTGGCCCCAGGCACAGATCCTTGCTGGCAGCCTGAGAGTCACTCGGTCTAACTTGGTTTCAAGGCACCAACCTTTATTAAACAAGGCTCTGGGTCTCGGGTTGCTGGCTGCCTGCTCGAACTTTCCCTTACAGACATCTGGACCCCTCCCTTACCCCTCATTATAAGCAAGAAGAGGACCCCAGGCTGGGAAACACGGAGGTGGTAGTTGGGATCAAACATCCTACATGTTTACCAAGACCCGGAGGGCTTTTCGCTCCAAGGGACCCTTGGGACAGCAGCTGCTATGTTCCCGCATCCTTCCCTGGGACAGGGGGCAGATTAGATGTCCTAAGACTAGCAGCTTCCTCTCTGGGACCCCTGAGAGACGCGGAGACAAATGCTCCTTCTCAGAGCCTTCTTCAAGGTCTGGACTGAGGCCCGGTGGCCACAGGCTAGGGAGAAGTGTACAGGGCCCTGGGTTCTGCAGAGCTCACATGGAGAGCGGGCATGATGCTGGAATGAAGCCCAGGAGTGTCAGTCATGGGGAAGCGTGCCCTGAGGCATGGAATGCTGCCTGTGATCAACAACAGCTTCAACTGTAGACTCTGTCTAGGCCAGGGCCAACTCTCCCTACCAACACCAACTCTGCCCTGGCCCCATTCCAGGGTTCATTAAGAAAAGCATGCTAGGAAACTGAACCCCCTGCCATGGGGCACGAACTGTGTCCTATTTAGCCTTATATTCTCTGTGCATGAACAGGATAGCTCTATCGGGCGCTTATTCAGGTAAGCGGTGGGGTCCTGGCTGAGAGGTGAAGGATTTGGCGAGAGGGCATGGGGAACAGAAACAGAAGTCTGGGGAGGGCTGGGAAGCTATTCGGAGGAGGCTGGAAAGACGTGAAGGAAGTTGAGCAGAGGAGAAGGGAAAGGGGCTTCTCACAGTCGGGGCGATCTGGTCTGGAGGAGGGAGGGGCTGCCAGCCGCCCTGGCGACCGTCACCTTGTCCCACCAGGGAACTCGGGGTGCGGCTCTCGCCAGCCCCGGGCCAGCCGCCAGGTCCCCGCCCTTCGCGGGATTTACTCCTGTCCCGCCTTCTCGGATTTAGCCCAGGCAGCCTGGGAGGTTCCGCAGTCGCCGCTTCCGCCTTGACCAGGTGAGGGTCCGGACCGAGCAGGGGATCCGGGCTGGGGCGGGCCGGCGGAGCAGCCGTCGCTGGGGGCGCGTCCTAGAGGCGCTGGGCCTGTCCCCTTCTCCTACGTCCTTCCCTCCCGCAGCCGCGCTTCCTCCTGTCTCCCTTCTCCTGCGCTCCCTACTTCCCACCGAGCGCGCAGGGCCGGGTTCCCCAGGGTCCTGGGCTTTGTCCTTCCCAACCCAATCCCCGCTCGCGCCCGGTTCTGAGCCCACCTGCGCGTTTCCAGCTAGGCCCAGCCTCGATCCTCTTCCTCCTTGCTTATATTGTAGGGGAAAGGACGGGTCCAGGTGTGTATTAGAGAAAGTGTGAGCAGGCTGCCAGTATCCAGAGGCCCAGAGCCTTATTTAACAAAGGTTGGTGGAGTTGCTTTGAAGCCAAGTTAGACCTAGTGACTCAGGCTGCCGGCAGGCATCTGTGCCTGGGGCTGAGTTCAGGTAGGTGTGGGACTGTGTACCTGGCAGCCTCAGTGACTCCATAGGCAGCACCTAAGCCTAGCGGCCATCACAAGTGCCTGATTTGATTTCAAATGTTGCTGCCTCCGGTGGAGGAGAGGCAAGGACCCCTGGACCTCTTTTGGCTTGAGGTGGCCCTATGTATGCCCCTATAGCTCAGGTATGCTGTGTGCACACTGTACCTCGATGTCTCTGTGTTGTGTTCATGTGGACCTTTGTGTCTCAGTCGTGTGGGGCAGTGTATCTAGGTGTTTGGAGGCAGTGAACTGCTGTGTCCCATGGATGTGACATGTATGTACAAGGAACATCTCATGGAAGGACATGGATGAACCTGGGCGTTTTGTGGCCGCATGCTGGACTGTCTCGGCGTTAAGAGGACATATATCGACCAGGCGTGGTGGCTCACACCTGTAATCCCAGCACTTTAGGTGGCTGAGGTGGGCGGATCACAAGGTCAGGAGTTCAAGACCAGCCCGGCCAATATGGTGAAACCCTGTCTCTACTAAAAATACAAAAAATAGCTGGGCATGGTGGCACGCGCCTGTAATCCCAGCTACTCAGGAGACTGAGGCAGAAGAATTGCTTGAACCCGGGAGGCAGAGGTTGCAGTGAGCCAAGAACATGCCACTGCACTCCAGCCTAGATGAGAGAGCGAGACTTAGCTCAACAAAAAAAAAAAAAAAAAAAAAAACAAAAAAACAGGACACACTTTGGGAGGCCAAGGCGGGCGGATCACGAGGTCAGGAGATTGAGACTACCTCGGCTCACACAGTGAAACCCCGTCTCTACTAAAAATACAAAAAATTAGCCGTAAGTGATGGCAGGCACCTGTAGTCCCAGCTACATGGGAGGCTGAGGCAGGAGAATGGCGTGAACCCAGGAGGCGGAGCTTGCAGTGAGCCGAGATAGCGCCATTGCACTCCAGCCTGGGCGACAGAGCGAGACTCCGTCTCAAAAAAAAAAAAAAGGAGGACATGTATTTGGGAGCCTCGGCCATGTTTTGCAGTATATCTGTAGGTTTCAGTGTGTGTGTGGCAGTGTGTGGGAGGCAGTGTACTTTCGTGTGTGTGTGTGTGCTCTACCTACATGCCCGAGGTATGGTGTGGTTGTCATATCTGGGCATCTCTAGTGTGTGTGGTAGGCAAACATGTCTCATGTTGGAGGAAGGGAGATGTCTCAGGTGTGTTTGAGTGAGTGTGTGCCACCGTGTAGCTCAGGTCTAAAAGGGCAGTGTTTCTGGGTGTCCGGGTGGATGATGTGCCATGATATTTCAGAGTCAGGATGGGAACATACCTGGAGTCTGTAGTAGGAGCAGGCAGCATGCTAAAATTGCAGGTGTGAGCAGGGCAGGTTACTCAGAGGTGAAGGGACAGAGTACCCAGATGCCGTGGGCACGGGGAATATTCTACCTGGTATTTGTGTGTGTGAGTGGCAGGGATCCTGTCTGTCTCTGCTGTGTCCCTCCCTCTGTACCTGAGTGTTTCTGATGACGTGCAGGTGGAGCTGGAGACCCGGTCTCTCTAGGGCCTACCCTGGGCCAAACATCTGAAGGAGAGTGCCCTCATCCTTCGGGACTCCTTCTCCGGACATGCTTCCTGAGGCCAGCTCCCTGTGGCTACTGAAGCTGCTCCGGGACATCCAGCTGGCCCAGTTTTACTGGCCCATCCTTGAGGAGCTTAATGTCACTCGGCCAGAGCACTTCGACTTTGTAAAGCCCGAGGACCTGGACGGCATTGGCATGGGCCGGCCTGGTGAGAGACCCCCTGCCCCGAGGCCCTGGTGCCTCTGTCCACAGCCTATCAGTTGCCTTCCCCCACCACAACCCTCTTCCAGCCCTTTTCTTCCCTGTAAGTCTCTCCCAACTCTTCCCCACCCCCACCTCCACCCCAGCCCTGATTCTGGCCTCCCACAGCCCAGCGCAGACTGTCCGAAGCTCTGAAAAGGCTGCGTTCCGGGCCTAAGTCTAAGAACTGGGTCTACAAGGTGTGTGTTGCGGGTGGGCAGCTTGGGCCTGGGAATGAGGTGGCTTGAGGGGCAGGGAGGGGGGCGCAGGGCTCTGCATACCGGATTTCCCATCCCTATTTCAGATCCTTGGAGGTTTTGCTCCTGAGCACAAGGAGCCCACCCTGCCCTCGGACAGCCCAGCGCACCTCCCTGAGCCAGAGGGGGGCCTCAAGTGTCTGATCCCAGAGGGTGCTGTTTGCAGAGGGGAGCTGCTGGGTTCGGGCTGCTTCGGTGTGGTGCACCGAGGGCTGTGGACGCTGCCCAATGGCAAGAGTGTGAGTGTCCAGGGAGCCCACTTCATCCAGGCCGGCTGTCCCCTCTGTTCTTCATGCCCACAATGCCTCAAGTTGCTTCCCCCCACCTCCAGGTCCCAGTGGCTGTCAAGTCCCTCCGGGTAGGTCCGGAAGGCCCGATGGGCACAGAACTGGGGGACTTCCTGCGAGAGGTATCGGTCATGATGAAATTGGAGCACCCACACGTGCTGCGTCTGCACGGCCTTGTACTGGGCCAGCCCCTGCAGATGGTGAGCAGATCCAGCCGCTGGTTCCCGGGACGGCCGTGCGGCAGGAGAGTGCGGCAGGAGGGAAGCTGGGACCAGTGGGTCCGGCTCACGCGGCGCGGTGCTCCCTCCTGCAGGTGATGGAGCTGGCGCCACTGGGCTCCCTGCACGCGCGCCTAACGGCTTCGGCCCCGACAACCCCGCTGCCCGTGTCCCTGCTCTGCCTCTTCCTGCGGCAATTGGCGGGAGCCATGGCGTACCTGGGGGCCCGAGGGCTGGTGCACCGAGACCTCGCTACGCGCAACCTGCTGCTGGCGTCGCCGCGCACCATCAAGGTGGCTGACTTCGGGCTGGTGCGGCCTCTGGGCGGCACCCGGGGCCGCTACGTCATGGGCGGGCCCCGCCCCATCCCCTACGCATGGTGAGCGCGGGCCCGCGGGGGCATCGGGCTCTGAGCCGGGCGAATCCGGAGGGCAGCGGCCGAGGGAGATCGGAGGGGGCCGGGCTTCTGAGGGAAGCTGGGACCAGAAGGGTTATCCTCCTAGGAAAAGAGGACTTTTGTGAAAGATGGGAGCACTCGGGGGTGCTCCGTGGAAGGTGAGCCGCCGAGGAGCACGTGTCCGGCCCCCTTTCAGCTCCACTTCCTTCCGCAGGTGTGCCCCAGAGAGCCTGCGCCACGGAGCCTTCTCGTCTGCCTCGGACGTGTGGATGTTTGGGGTGACGTTGTGGGAGATGTTCTCCGGGGGCGAGGAACCCTGGGCCGGGGTCCCACCCTACCTCATCCTGCAGCGGCTGGAGGACAGAGCCAGGCTGCCTAGGCCTCCCGTCTGCTCCAGGGCCCTCTACTCCCTCGCCTTGCGCTGCTGGGCCCCCCACCCTGCTGACCGGCCTAGCTTTTCCCACCTGGAGGGGCTGCTGCAAGAGGTGGGAACCCCCTACCTCACTAGATACACGGTCCCTCTTCCCTCCATTCGCTCTCCCAGGGTTCCATGCAAGGACTAACATATCCAGATGCCTGTGCTGGGCTCTGGGATTCAGCTCTGAGCAAAACAGATGCAGTCCCTACCTGCAGGGAGATCAGAGCCCTAAGGAGGCAACTTGGGGATACACAGACGCCAGACTGAAAGGCTGGGGTCTGTGTCTGGGCCAGAAAAGGGGCATAGAGGAGACAGCACTCAGTTACAGTCATGTTGACAGGCAGAGGAAGAAAAGGACTCAGTGTGGGAGGGGGAAATAGAAGTAATGAAGCTGCAGGCCAGGGCGCAGTGGCTCACTTCTGTAATCCCAGCCCTTTGGGAGGCAAAGGTGGGCAGATCACCTGAGGTTGGGAGTTCAAGACCAGCCTGCCCAACATGGAGAAACCCTGTCTCTACTAAAAAATACAAAATCAGCTGGGCGTGGTGGTGCATGCCTGTAATCCCAGCTACTTGGGAGGCTGAGGCAGGAGAATTCGCTTGAACCCGGGAGGCAGAGGTTGTGGTGGGCCGAGATCGCACCATTGCACTCCAGCCTGGGCAAAAAGAGCGAAACTCCATCTCAAAAAAAAAAAAATAGTAATAATAATGAGGCAGCAGAGTGAGCAGGAGCTGTGTCATGGAGGGCTTTGCAAAGCGTGTTAAGCTAACACGTAGAGCACTTAACCTGTGCAGGACACTGCACTGTGAGCTTTACATGGGCGTGTATGCAGATTCGCTCATTTAATGCTCTCAACCATTGGATGAGGTTAATTATTATTATTATTATTTTATTTTGAGACAGAGTCTTGCTCTGTCACCCTAGCTGGAGTGCAATGGTGGGATCTTGGCTCACTGCAACCTCCACCTCCCTGGTTCAAGCAATTCTCCTGTTTCAGCTTCCTGAATAGCTGGAACTACAGTTGCCTGCCACCATGCCTGGCTAATTTTTGTATTTTTAGTAGAGATGAGGTTTCACCATGTTGGCCAGGCTGGTCTCGAACTCCTGACCTCGAATGATCCACCCGCCTCGGCCTCCCAAAATGCTGGGATTACAGGCATGAGCCACCATGCCCAGCCTGGATGAGATAATTATTATTATCTCCATGTTACTGATGGGCAGTTGAGGCACTGAGAGTTACCTAAAGTCACATGGTAAGTGGAAGAGTTGGGATTTGAGCCAGTCAGTTTGACTTCAGAGCTGTTCCCTAAGCTGCTACACTCTACCACTAAAGTTTAGTCTACTCTGAAGGCATTTGGGAGCCAGGGAAGCCTACTAAGCAGGGGAGTTACAAGCCACTCTGCCCATGACGGCACTCTGGTGTGGCGCAAGAATGGATTAGAGGGATGATGCTGAGGCTGGGAGACCAGGTAGGCAACAGTGGCTGTGAAGCAGAAGGGAGATGAGGAGGTCCGGGTGAGGGTAGAGGCAGTGAGGCTGCAGAGGAGTGGAAATTTCCCAGAGGGGCTTGGGAGGCTGATCTGACGGGCCTGGATGAGGAGTGAAAGCCGTGTACAGGATGACGCTCCTGTTAGTCCCCCTAGGTAGAGCTAGGGCCCTCGCTTGCTCCTTGAGCCCTGACCTGTTTGTCATGAGATCCAGGTCTGCCTCCCTCACTGAATTACAACTGGGGGACAGGGAGAGTCCCACCCTGGGCCCAGCACAGATGACATACAGAACGGGGTTTTTCTTTATTCCTGCTCCCATATTACCTTTCTGACTCAGGCCACAAGCCCAGCCACCCTTTCCTCCTGTCTCCACAGGCCTGGCCTTCGGAAGGATGCTGTGTGAGGGATGTCACAGAGCCAGGTGCCCTGAGGATGGAGACTGGTGACCCCATCACAGTCATCGAGGGCAGGTGACGGTCCTGTACCTCCCAAGCATCCTCAGGAGGAGGATACCCACCCAACCTAATTCCTTCTCTGCTTCTCTCCAGCTCCTTAACCTTGATCTTCTGTCTCATCTCCTCTCCCCACTGGGTCCTGAAAGCTCCAGCATGGTCCTGGCCTCCCTGCTGGAGCCACTGCTGGCCCATAGAGCCTTATTGCATTAGGGAAAATGCTTCCCTTCCTCTAGGCAGATGCAGCTCCAAGGCACATAGCCTAGAGAGCTGACTGTGGGCCAGGGCCCAGCCCTAACTTTTGCCCTTATTCCTATCCCATTTACCAGCTTCTCTTTCCACAGCCCCGACTCCACAATCTGGAAGGGCCAGAATGGTCGCACCTTCAAAGTGGGCAGCTTCCCAGCCTCAGCGGTGACGCTGGCAGATGCGGGGGGCTTGCCAGTCACCCGTCCAGTTCACAGAGGCACCCCTGCCCGGGGAGATCAACACCCAGGAAACATAGATGGGTGAGGACCTGAGAGGGTGGGGGACAGGGGTGGGCTGGGAGAACTGATGAAGTCCAGGAGAGTCTCTGGAAAGGAAGCTTGGGGAAAGGACCAGAATGAAGCTGCAGCCTCCACCCTGGGCACTGGGTCTCCTAGGTTCCCCCGTGAGTTTTTTTGGGAGGGTGTATTGATCTGTAGGGTGGGGAGGGTTGGTGTGGAGGACGAACTGGATCCCTCTCTGACAGAGACAGAAAGAAGGCAAATCTTTGGGATGTGCCCCCAGCACGGGGCCAGAGGAGAAACGTGCCCCTGGAGAGGATGAAAGGTGGGTGTGGTGGACTCCAGAGTCTCTGAGGAGATCAAGATCAGCCCTTCAATTCCAACCCCCTGCCCTGATCCATGCCCTTGCATCTATTATTGCCTTCCTCTGAATTCTATCTACTGGCATCCTAGCTATACTGTGAAATCTTTTTTTGTTTTTGTTTTTTTGAGACAGAGTTTCACTCTTTTTGCCCAGGCTGGAGTACAGTGGCGTGATCTTGGCTCACCACAACCTCCACCTCCCGGGTTCAAGCGATTCTCCTGGCTCGGCCTCCCGACTAGCTGGGACTACAGGCATGCGCTACCACGCCCGGCTAATTTTGTATTTTTAGTAGAGATGAGGTTTCACCATGTTGCCCAGGTTGGCCTTGAACTCCCGACCTCAGGTGATCTGCCCACCTTGGCCTCCCAAAGTGCTGGGATTACAGGCATGAGCCACTGCACCCAGCCCTATACTATGGAATCTTTTTTTTTTTTTTTTTCTTGAGACGGAGTCTCGCTCTGTTGCCCAGGCTGGAGTGCAGTGGCGCGATCTCGGCTCATTGCAAGCTCTGCCTCCCAGGTTTGTGCCATTCTCCTGTCTCAGCCTCCTGAGTAGCTGGGACTACAGGCACCCACCACCACGGCCGGCTAATTTTTTGTATTTTTAGGAGAGACGGGGTTTCACTGGTTTTTCAGGATGGTCTCAATCTCCTGACCTCGTGATCCACCCACCTCGGCCTCCTAAAGTGCTGGGATTACACGTGTGAACCACTGTGCCCGGCCTACTGTGGAATCTTAAAAGACAGGAAGCCCTCCTGCTTTCCCTACTGTAGAGCACCTCCACACTCTGGGCCCTGAGCTCTCAGTTCTCTGGGCCCTCTGCCTAGGCCTTGGTGTCCATTTGCACATCTGTCTCATTGTCCCACCTGACACATGAACCACCCAGGGACAGGGCTGGCTAGCTCATCTGCAAATGCTTGCAAAACCATCCAGCTCCGCGCAGACGAAGACAGAGAGTAAGGCCAGGCATGGTGGCTCACGCCTGTAATCCCAGCACTTTGGGATCCCAAGGTGGGCGGATGGCTTGAGTCCGGGAGTTTGAGACCAGTCTGGGCAATGTGCCGAAACCCCGTCTCTACAAAAATACAAAAATTAGCCAGTCGTAGTGGCATCCACCTGTAGTCACAGCTACTCGGGAGGCTGAGGTGGGAGGATCGCTTGAGCCCAGGAGGTGGAGGCTGCAGCAAGCCGAGATCAAGTTGTTTCTTTCTCAACTGTGCAGGCATTTCCAGGAGTCTGGAGTCAGTTCTGTCCCTGGGTCCTCGCCCCACAGGGGGTGGTTCAAGCCCCCCCGAAATTCGACAAGCCAGAGCTGTGCCCCAGGGACCCCCTGGCCTGCCTCCACGCCCACCTTTATCCTCTAGTTCTCCTCAGCCCAGCCAGCCCCCTAGGGAGAGGCTTCCCTGGCCCAAAAGAAAACCCCAACACAATCACCCCATGGGAGCGCCTGGAGCCAGTAAAGCCGCCGCCCTCTCTGGAGGCCTCTTGCCTGATCCCGAGTTGCAGAGGAAGATTATGGAGGTGAGGTCTCACTGAAATGGCCTGGTGGCCACAAGGGGCTACAGGCAGGGGCAGGGGCCTGAGTGGGGCTTTGTCTGTTACAGGTGGAGCTGAGTGTGCATGGGGTCACCCACCAGGAGTGCCAGACAGCACTAGGAGCCACTGGCGGAGATGTGGTTTCTGCCATCCGGAACCTCAAGGTAAAGCCAGTCCCTTCTCTTGGGGTCCCTCCTCTCCTGCCCCTGCAACCTGGCAGTCAGCTGCAGCCCACCCTCCTGCTTCCACAGGTAGACCAGCTCTTCCACCTGAGTAGCCGGTCCAGAGCTGACTGCCGGCGCATCCTGGAGCATTACCAGTGGGACCTCTCAGCTGCCAGCCGCTATGTCCTAGCCAGGCCCTGAGCTCAGCTTCTGCGAGCCTGGACACCAGCATGAAACGCCTAGGCCCCTGAGGGCCTGGCCACATGGGACTAAGCAGAACCAGAACAAGGTCTTGACGGGGGTAGACTTTCCACCTGGGGAGATCCTACCTGCTATAGGCACGTGGAGGAGGAGCCCAGGGTTGAACACTGGCAAATGTCTCCTCCCTCCTATGCTCCTTGGCTTCTGAAGGCTGAAGCTCCTTTGGCTCGGCCAAGAAGGATCCAGTCTGCCCACTACATTCTCAAACAAGAGGACTTGGAGGAAAAGAGCTGCTATACATCATATCCAGAGGAAGCTTCTACTCACTAGAGAGGATCAAGGGGTCACACTGGACCATGCCAACAGCCATCCTGAACTGCCATCAGCTACCACACTGGACTCTGTGGGGCAGCCATCCTGGATGATGGAAGCCGCCATATTGACTTGAGGTATAGGCCCAAACTGCCTTCATTTGGTCCAGGGCCATCGTGGGTGATGACGATTGCTCTCTTGCACTCAAGGACATTTGATGCTGGTAGTATGGATTATGAGATGGGCTAGCCCCTGCCCCACCCCAGCTCTCACATTCCCCTTTGTTTTTTCCCATATTAACTCCTTCTACCCTCCCCTATTACATACATCTTTCAATGTCCAAAAAGTTACAAAGTTTATATGAATGTAACATATAAAGATGCAGCCTTTTTCCTAGGGCAAGGGAAGGAAGGGCGGTTACATAAGGCACAGGAATCGCAGCAAGCACCAGCTGAGGGCAGGGCCCTAGTGGGAGAGGAAGTTGGCACTGGGGTCCCCCTGCAGCTGTTGATGGGGAGGTGGAGACCCCGTTGAAGTGCCATGGTCTGAGGCTGAACTAATTGGCCAAGCAGATGCTGGGGGGTTGGCTATGTCCACCGTCTTTGGTGCAGCTTGCCCTTCCCCACCCCAGCCCTCTTGTAAAACCCCAGGGTCCTGGGTTCCAGAGGCCTGCTTTGGAGCAGAGGCCCTGGAAGGGGGTGGGAGGGAGTGCGTGGGTAAAGTGTGAAAGCTGATATGCCTGTGTGCCAAGGGACTGCTGGGACAATGGTGGGAGGTAGCAGGAGAGGGGCTCTCATACATACCCCTCCTTGGGTACCACAGGGGCAGGAAGCCAGGGAGTAGGGTAGGGATGGGGCCCCCTTCTGTCCCCTGCAGTGTACATGGAGGAAAGGGGCTGCCCGGAGGAGGGGCCAGGGCAGGCGACCATCTGGAGTTCTCGTTGAGGTGATGGTCTCCTCACACCATGGTGGCCTCTAACTGGTGACGGCAGAAGGCCCCGCGCCTCCTCGCTTCTCAAAGAACATGTAGTCCTAAGAGGAGGCCACTGTCAACGGGAGATCCGGCTGGGCCAGCCAGCTCGGCTGTCACAGGCCAGCTCTGGAACCTCAACCCCCACAACACCTATCCCTGACTTTCCCCTAGCAAGAGGCCAGGAAGTGCATAAAGCCTGGAATGACAGCAAAGGACAGGCAGGAGGTGGGGGCAGGGGCAGCCAACTCACAATGAGGAATGTGGCTCCCAGCAGCACAGCCTTCACCCTCACATCCAGGTCCAGCGGGAACTGTAGGCCAAAGTCATCTGCATCCGTGAAGGCTTCTCGGACCAGGCCCCCCCACTGCTTGCTGATGCGGCCCACACTGCGGGATTCATCCCGAGTCTTCACCTGTTAGCCAGGAGGGAGGAAGGACCCAACTAAGGAGGAGGCAGCCAGTCTCACCTGCTCCAGTCTCACTCCCATAGTTGCATGTATGGATTTGCAGCGTCTCCACTAGTGAATTTTCCCCTCTAGAGGTCACCCAGTGATCGCTTTCCCAACTGGTTCCCATCACAGAGTATGACAGCTGGGGAAACTGAGGCACTCTAGATCACGCTGTGAGTCTGTACCCAAAATTAGGATTCAGACTCAGATCTGCTGCTATCCAAAGGTGATACATGACCTAACTGAACATCAGTGGTGGGAGAAATGGAAGCATGATATAATCCAACCCCCTTAGGGTATGGCTGTTTGCTAGGTTTGCTCTGGTTCCCAATGCCCCTGCCACCCACAACTGGCACAGTTTATGCCCTGCACAAAGTAACCTGGCCAAAAGGGCAAGGAAAGCTACCAGAATCCTGGCTGTACTTCACCAGCCAAGAAGGCTCCTAGAAGGCTGTCTACCCCCAAAGAGTACCTTTTCTCTAATCTGCAAAGTAGGGGAGGGCCTTGCCCAGCACTGCATGAGAGCCTCTTCTAGAGGGGATACACACCTATCTACTGTGGGGAGGGGCAGCAGTAAGTAGCCTTCGAGGACCACAATTTCCACTGGCTTCTCTGAGCCACACAGCAATAGGCCCTGCCGATGTGGGTAGTTACTCCCCATGACTTCCTGGTCCTTTTCCTGTGCTCATTCTCCGGGATTAGAACTGGAGTGATTTCCTTTTGTGTCATTCCCATCCCCTTCCTGCACTGTCCTACAGCTCTGGGGCACTTCCTGCCATGGTCCTAAGGGTGCAGCCTCAAGTATGGATCATTTATAATTATGTAAAAGGGACACTGGCCCTATGAGAACCCCACAGCCTATACATTCCCATCCGGAGATCACACAGTTATTACATCTTATTCCCAACTGGTTCCCATCACGGAATCTCCCTCTGGCTACCAAGGTGACTGATTTTTGCAAAGTAACCTTAGGTAGGGTACCTCATTAGAAGCGTTGGAAAGTCTACTGGATTATACCAGTTGTTTCTCCCTTATCTGCACAAGGAATTATCCCTTAAACAACTCAAGGGTCGGCCAGGTGTGGTGGCTCATGCCTGTAATCCCAGCACTTTGGGAGGCTGAGGCGGGTGGATCACCTGAGGTCAGGAGTTTGAGGCCAGCCTGACCAACATGGAGAAACCTCATCTCTACTAAAAATACAAAATTAGCCGGACATGGCGGCACATGCCTGTAATGCCAGCTACTCGGGAGGTTGAGGCAGGAGAACTGCTTGAACCTGGGAGGCGAAGATTGCGGTGAGCCGAGATCATGCCATTGCACTCCCACCTGGGCAACAAGAGCAAGACTCTGTCTCAAAACAAACAAACAAAAAAACAAAACAAAAAAAAGAACTCAAGGGTCTGTGGAGTGCCTTTGTCTTCTAGAAACCAAGGTGCTTCCCAGGCCTCACCTTTCTCTGAAATTCTCACCACTTGGGATCTCCAGCTTCCAGGTTGGTGACAGGAATGCACAGTGGATTGGATATCAGAATGTAGCAGGGCAGGCCACAGGATGTTAACATGTTAAAATCGTGCTTGCTCCAGGGCTTGGGCTCACAAACTCATACACAGCAGCCACATGGGCCCAGCCCACACAGACTTAAGCATCCTTCACCCCAAATCCAGGCTGGCCTTAGATTTTTTTTTTCTGCCCATCTCAGGGCCACGTGTAATAATCAACATGGCTCCTGAAGATGAAATCCTCGTTGTTACGCTTTTATAAGACCACGGGGCCATTCTATTTCCAAATGGAGGAATGCTGCAAATGTGGTCGGAGTCACAGTGGATTTGGATTGATGAGCTCAGGGTCTTGACCTTAGTGTTAACTATCCTGTCTCATGGAAGCATCATCTAGGTTTACGAAGGTCCCAAGAACCTCTAGTATTCCTGATACCTCAAAGTTGGTGTCTGTGCCACAGCCACAGGTCCAGCAGGGCCCCACTACTCGCAGGACTGTCTGGCGATCGGCATCCTGGATGGAGAACTTGGGGAGGAAGGGATGCCAGGTCTGTAGCACGTGGCCGATAGTGGTGCCTGGGGGAGCCTGTACTTCCATCTGGAGTGGGAAGCAGACAGGGTCACTGCGGAGGCAGGGGTCCCAGCTCTATCATGTGTCTACTTGGCCCTCACTAAACCTCCCATCCCCACCTGCCCACTCCCACCTGAGCCAGGCCTCATCTCAGGTGGACCTCATCATTGTCCCGCCCCACCAAGGCCCGCCCTCCCGGACCCATTCCTCCTCCCACCTCCTGGAGGCCACAGGGGCAGCAGCTGCAGCCACAGTGCAGCGGGCGGAGCAAACGGAGCACCTCGCGGTCCCCGGGGTCGGCCAGGCGGACACGCAGCGGCCGGCGGGCGCCACAGCACAGACGGGCGCAGCAGTTGCTCTCCTCAGCCGCCTGACCCAGGGGCTGCCCGGCCCCAGAGCGCAGTTCGTAGCGGTTACAGGTCTCCCAGCCTAGGAACGCTGCCCGGGGTGACACAGGGAGACTTACAGAGCCTCGCGCGCCCAGGAGCCCACCATCCGGGCCACCATCATGAGGTCCAACCTCCCACTCCTTCTACTCACTTTCCACTCGCTCAGCCTTCTGGTGAATCAAAATCTGATCAATCTGGAAAGAGAGGGGCGGCGCGCACATCAGCTGGCCCATCTGGACGCCCAGGTCCCCTCCCAGTCATCCTCCCTCACTCCTTCCCACTTACCTGCACCAGGAATTCGAGGCCGGAAGGCACCCCAGGCAGTGGCAAGAAGGGGGCAGCAGACCCCGAGGCCACGGGACCGGGCGAGGGGAAGAGGGCGAAGCCGGGAGCTGGGGCAGGTACCTGGGCGGGCACTGGCGCCTGCCCGGGCGCAGGATGTAGCGCCGGCTCCGGGTACCCAGGGGTGACAGGGTAGGGAGGTGGGGGCGAAGGGGCGTAGCCTTTGGGGGGCAAGTAGCCTGTAAAGCGGTGGGGGCAGGATAGATTAGAAAGGGACCCAAGGCCTCATCCCCTTATTCTTCAGCCCATGGGCCGCAAGGCTTCGGGGGAAACGTGGTGGCAAGACGCAGAGAAAGATGGGGCAGGGGAGCAGGGTGGAGGTTCCCCGGAAGGAAGGGAGGGGCCCCACCCAGCCAGTCCGAGCACATTCCGGGAGGATGTGTTCGCACCCGGCTCTCAAGTCCGTGGGGGGATAACGGAGACCCCCGGACTTGCGCGCACACTTACCTGCCATGGGAGAAGGGCTTGAGGTTTCGGGATGATGGTGTCTGGATGGCTTAGTTCTGGAAGCGGAGGCAAACTCGGAGATAGCCAGACAGACACAGAGACAGACACAAAGACGGACAGGCAAACGCGGAGAGGCAGCTGCGCCCGGCGCGGGCCCAGGGTCTCTTGGGCGGCGCCTCTGACTCGGGGAGAAACCCAAGTGTCAGCGGGCGGGGCTGGGTACCTGGGACCCAGGATTCCCTCGGGGGCCCCAGAACCGCCCCCTCCCTTTGTTCTCCCATCCTGCGGAGGAGGTTGTGGGCGGACGGCAGGACAGATGGACCCGCGGTCAGACCGACAGCCCCACCTCGAGGGCGGTCTCCCTGACCCCTCTGTGCCCCCGCTCACCTGGAGCCCTCAGAACAGCCCGGGTGCCTAGCACTCGGCGGCTCACAGGAGCTGGCGGAGGCAGAGGCGGGCCGGAGCTCGGACCCCGGCCCCGCCCCCCGACCCCGGCCCCGCCCCCCGACCCGCCGGGCCCGCCCCCTCCTGGGCGGTGCGTCTGTGCGGGGAAGAAGGAGGCCGTCCGCTGCCCCGGGAGGCCGAGCGTGTGCTTTGCTCCTCAGCGTCGCCGGCGTTCCCGCCCCTTCCGCTCGGACTGCAGATGCCCGGAGAGTAGGAGCGCCTGGGGGAGGCGGCGGCTGGGCCCGGGCTCCGCGAACCCCGCCAGGTCGGCGGCTTGCGTGCTCAGCGCCCTTGGTGGGAGGCGAGGGCGGCCAGCGCCGCGCTGGCCCCTGGGCTCCTCCTCCCAAGGGCGGTCGGGCCTCGCTGACGCAGCGGAACACCCTTCACACTCACTCATTGGCTTCCAGGACTGACTCCTGGCTCGCCTTCTGCCTCCCAGGGGCGACCTCGCCGTCTTCTCTCACTGGCGCAGCGGTGACCCACACGGGCACCTCGCAGCAACAGCAGTTTCTGCAGGTGCCCAAGCCACGCAGGTGACAAGCCGCCAAACGGTGTCAGTGAGCGTGCTCAGGCCGCCTAGAGGGCCAGAGGAGGACGCGCGGTCAGAAAAGACCCCCTAGACGAGTCTCTTCGACTGGATCCTAAGCCAGGACCAGTCCTGGCCTTGGGGAGCACTGGCTCAGTGGCGCAAGAGATGAGTTTAGAGATGGAGTGCAGTCCACATACACGGCGGGTTGTGCGGAAGCTGGGATTTGCCCCACGGGCAGCAAGGAGTCCACCGAGACATTTTTAGAACAAAGAAGTTCAAATGTGTGTTTTAGAAAGATCGTGGCGGGGCGCGGTGGCTCATGCCTGTAATCCCAGCACTTTGGGAGGCAGAGGTGGGCGGATCACCTGAGGTCAGAAGTTTGAGACCAGGCCTGGCTAACATGGCGAAAACTCATCTCTACTAAAAATGCAAAAATTAGCTGGGCGTGGTGGCGGGCGCCTGTAGTCCCAGCTACGCGGGAGGCTGAGGCAGGAGAATCTCTTGAACCCGGGAGGCAGAGGTTGCAGTGAGCCGAGATCACGCCATTGCACTTCAGCCTGGGCAACAGAGCGAGACTCCATCTCTAAATAAATAAATAAATAAATAAATAAAGTCAGGCTACGAAGGCATCACCAATAAGGCAATAGTTAGACCAGGCGCGGTGGCTCACGCCTGTAATCCCAGTACTTTGGGAGGCCGAGGCGGGTGAATCACGAGGTCAGGAGATGGAGACCATCCTGGCCAACATGGTGAAACCCCGTCTCTACTAAAATACAAAAAAAATTAGCCAGGTGGCCGGGCGCGGTGGCTCAAGCCTGTAATCCCAGCACTTTGGGAGGCCGAGACGCGCGGATCACGAGGTCAGGAGATCAAGACCATCCTGGCTAACGCGGTGAAACCCCGTCTCTACTAAAAAATACAAAAAACTAGCCGGGCGAGGTGGCGGGCGCCTGTAGTCCCAGCTACTCTGGAGGCTGAGGCAGGAGAATGGCGTAAACCCGGGAGGCAGAGCTTGCAGTGAGCTGAGATCCGGGCACTGCACTCCAGCCTGGGCAACAGAGCGAGACTCCGTCTCAAGAAAAAAAAAAAAAAAATTAGCCAGGTGTGGTGGCGGGCGCTTGTAGTCCCAGCTACTTGGGAGGCTGAGGCAGGAGAATCACTTGAACCTGGGAGGCGGAGGTTGCAGTGAGCCGAGATCTTGCTACTGCACTCCAGCCTGGGGACAGAGCAAGACTCCGTCTCAAAAAAAAAGAAGGCAATAGTTGACCCAGAATCTAAAGGAGGTGAGGGACTGAGCTGTGCAGATTACTGGGTAAGTGTTTCAGGCAGAGGGAACAGCAAGGGCAAAGGTCCTGAGGCAGAAGACCAGTGAGACTAGAATGGAGTTAACAAGGGGAAGGTCAGAGAGGTCACAGGAGGCCAGATCACACATGGCCTTTTAGTTCACTGAATTATACCCTCAGATGGTAAATGTTGGAGGGTCTGGACAGAGAAGAGATGTGAGAGTACTGCAACAGTGGTTCTCCATGTGGAGGTTCCCCCTGGGCCCTAGATGCCACCTGAGATGAAGGATGGAAATGCAGTGAGAGCAGTGGACTGGGAGGAAGGAGCCTGCAGACCCAGCCTTGGCTCTGCCACTGGACCTTTGGGTCACTCTGGTTTTTCTGTTTTTTTGAGAGTCTCACTCTGTCGCCCAGGCCAGAGTGCAGTGGCACGATCTTGGCTCACTGCAACCTCCACCTCCCAGGCTCAAGCAATTCTTCTGCCTCAGCCTCCCAAGCAGCCAGGACTACAGCCACTACGCCCGGATAATTTTTGTATTTTTAGTAGAGACAGGGTTTCACCATGTTGGCCAGGCTGGTCTCAAACTCTTGGCCTCAAGTGATCCTTACACCTTGGCCTCCCAAAGTGCTGGGATTACAGGCGTGAGCCACCGTACCCAGCCCCTTTAGGCCACTCTGGAGGTCCCCTCTGAGGGTTTGTTTATTTATTTATTTGTTTGTTTATTGAGACAGCGTCTTGCTCTGTTGCCCAGGCTGGAATGCAGTGGCATGATCTCCACTCATTACAACTTCTGCTTCCTAGGATCAAGGCATCCTCCCACCTCAGCCTCCTGAGTAGCTGGGACTACGGGCGTGTGCCACAATGTCCAGCTAATTTTTGTACTTTTTGTAGAGACGGGGTTTTGCCATGTTGCCTAGGCTGGTCTTGAACTCCTGGGCTCCAGCAGTGCACCTGCCTCAGCCTCCCAAATTGCTGAGATTACAGGTGTGGGCCATCACACCCAGCCTATTTATTTATTTATGAGACTGAGGTCTCACTCTTGTCACCCAGGATGAAGTGTAGTGGCACCATGAGAGATCACTGCAGCCTCAAACTCCTAGGCTCGGACGGGCACAGCGGCTCACATCTCTAATTCCAGCACTTCGCATCTCTAATCCCACTCTGCCCAGGCAGGCAGAGCACTGAAGATCAGGAGTTTGAGAGCAGCCTGGCCAACACAGTGAAACCCCGTCTCCACTAAAAATACAAAAAAATTATCCAGGCGTGATGGCACATTCCTGTAATTCCAGCTACTCAGGAGGCTGAGGCATGAGAATCGCTTGAACCCAAGAGGTGGAGGCTGCAGCAAGCTGAGATCGCATCACTGCATTCCAGCCTGGGCAACAGAGCAAGATTACGTCTCAAACAAAAACAAAACAAAGGCCGGGCGCGGTGGCGCACACCTGTAATCCCAGCACTTTGGGAGGCCGAGGCGGGCGGATCACAAGGTCAGGAGATTGAGACCATGGTGAAACTCCGTCTCTACTAAAAATACAAAAAATCAGCCAGGCACGGTGGCGGGCGCCTGTAGTCCCAGCTACTTAGGAGGCTGAGGCAGGAGAATGGCGTGAACCCGGGAGGTGGAGCTTGCAGTGAGCCGAGATCGCGCCACTGCACTCCAGCCTGGGGGACAGAGCGAGACTTCATCTCAAAAAAAAAAAAAAAAAATTCTTAGGCTCAAGCTATCCTCATGCCTCAGCCTCTCAAGTAGCTGGGACTACAGGCATATACCACCACATTATTATTTTATCATTATTATTATTATTATTATTATTATTTTTGATGGAGTTTTGCTCTTGTTCACCAGGCTGGAGTGCAATGGCCTCCCAGGTTTAAGCGATTCTCCTGCCTCAGCCTCCTGAGTAGCTGGGATTACAGGTGCCTGCCACCACACCTGGCTAATTTTTGTATTTTTAGTAGAGATGGGGTTTCACCACTTTGGCCAGACTGTTCTTGAACTCCTGACCTCAGGTCATCCACCCGCCTCGGCCTCCCAAAGTGCTGGGATATTTTTATTTTTTTTAGAGACAGCATCTCACTATGTTGCCCAGGCTGCTCTTGAATGCTGGAGCTGTAGCTATTCTCCCACTTTTGCCTTCCAAGTAACTGGGTAGGGGGCTGAAGCAGGAGGATTGCTTGAGCCTAGCAGTTTGAGACTAGCCTAGGCAACCAACATGGTGAGACCCCATCTCATCTCTTTCTTGAACCTCCTGGGTTCAAGCAATTCTCCTGCCTCAGTCTTCCGAGTAGCTGGGACTACAGGGGCACACCACCATGCCTAGATAATTTTTGTATTTTTAGTAGAGATGGGGTTTCACCATGCTGGCCAGGCTGGTCTCGAACTTCTGACCTTGTGATCTGCTGGCCTTAGCCTCCCAAAGTGCTGGGATTACAGGCATGAGCCACCGTGCCCGGCGAGACCCCCATCTCTACAAAAAAAGTAATAATTAGCCAGGCATGGTAGCGTACACCTGTAGTCCCAGCTACTCGGGAGGCGGAGGTGAGAGAACTGCTTGAGCCTGGGAGATGGAGACTACAGTGACTCCTTATGGCACCACTGAATTACAACTGGATGACAAAGCGAGACCCTGTCTCAAACAAAATGAAAAAGCACAGAGAGGCAGTGGAACAGCTGGAGGGTGGAGGGTGTGCCCCTTCAGATTTGGAAGGCTTCACCAAGGCGATCCTATTGAAGCTAAACTAAGCATGCACAAAGCGTAGAAGTGTATTCTAGGCACAAAGAATAACTGCAAAACAGGCTGAAAAGAGCAGCTCAAAATCTTGAGGCAGAAGAAAATGTGGTGGGTTGGCAATGTGGATGCCATGTAGTGACAAAGAGTCACAAGGCCCGGATGGCCAGTGCAGGCCTTCGAGACAGTGGTATGGCACTTGGAATCTATTTGCAATGCAATAGTAAGTCACTGAAAAGTTTAAGTCACTCTTTTTTTTTTTTGAGATGGGGTCTTGCTATGTTGCCCAGGCTGGAGTACAGTGGCTATTCACAGGCTTGATCTTAGCACACTAGTCTCAAAGCCCTAACCTCAAGCGATCCTTCTGCCTCAGCCTCCTGAGTAGGTGAGACTACAGGCGCACACCACCGCACCCAGGTGTCATCATTTTTAATTTCTATTTTTGTGTATGCTTTATATAGTACAATCTGTATAATATATTGACGGCATACTTAATTTTTCTGAAGGTATGCATTTTTTTCTTTTTTGAGACAGGGCCTTGCTTTGTTGCCCAGGCTGGAGGGCAGTGACATGATCTCGGCTCACTGCAACCTCTGCCTCCTGGGTTCAAGCAATCTTCGTGTCTCAGGCACCCAAGTAGTTGGGATTACAAGCACCACGCACCACCACACCAGTTAATTTTTGTATTTTTAGTAGAGACGGTGTTTCACCATGTTGGGCAGGCTCATCTCAAACTCCTGGACTCATTATCTGCCTGTCTCAGCCTCCCAGGATTATAGGTGCTGAGACTACAAGCGTGAGCTGTTGCGACTGACCTGAAGGTATGCTTTTTTTTTTTTTTTTGAGACAGAGTCTCACTCTGTCATCTGGGCTGGAGTGCAATGGTGTGATCTCGGCTCACTGCAACCTCTGCCTCCCGGGTTCAAGCGATTCTCCTGCCTCAGCCTCCCGAGTAGCTAGGATTACAGGCACCCACCACTATGCCCAGCTAATTTTTTATATTTTTAATAGAGACAGGGTTTCACCATGTTGTGTGGGGAAAAGAGAGATCAGCCTGTTACTGTGTCTATATAGAAAGAAGTAGACATAAGGGACTCCATTTTGTTCTGTATTTGAGATGCTGTTAATCTGTGACCCTACCCCCGACCTTGTCCTTGCAAGAGACATGTGCTGCGGTGACTCAAGGTTTAATGGATTTTGGGCTGTGCAGGATGTGTCTTTGTTAAACAAGTGCCTGAAGGCAGCTTGCTGGTTAAAAGTCATCACCATTCTCTTAATTTCAACTACCCAGGGACACGTACACGGCCAAAGGTCACAGGGACCTCTGCCTAGGAAAGCTAGGTATTGTCCAAGGTTTCTCCCCATGTGATAGGCTGAAGTAATGCTAAAAGGTTTATGGAGATGTTTGCATATGCATCTCAAGGCACAGCATTTTCCTTTAAACTTATTCATGTCACAGAGATTTTTGTTCTTTTGTCTTACTGCTGATTTCCTCCCTAAAACGATCCTATTGTCCTGCCACTCCCTTATCTTTAAGATGGTAAAGATAATTATCAATAAATACTAAGGGAACTCAGAGACCGGTGCCGGCGTGGGTCCTCTGTAAGCTGAGCGCCGGTCCCCTGGGCCCCCGCTTTTCTTTCTCTATACTTTGTCTCTGTGTCTTATTTCTTTTCTCAAGTCTCTCGTTCCACCTAACGAGAAACACCCACAGGTGTGGAGGGGCAGGCCACACCTTCAATGTTGCCCAGGCTGGTCTCAAACTCCCGTTGTCTTGATTTGCCCGCCTCGGCCTCCCAAAGTGCTGGGATTACAGGTGTGAGCCATCGCGCCAGGCATGCCAGTATGCATTTCTAAAAGTGTGCAGATTCTTTCTCTAATGAGAAGATTTTAGGTAATTCCATCTCATTCCGTGTCTCTAGTTATAATCTGCATACTTTTAATTCCAGAATTTCTAGCACCAACACTAGTCTGTACTGAGCTCCCAACTCCTGTAACAGCAGTTTTCAAGGCTTCCCTGAAGCAAGAGAGTATGTTAGAGACCTGAAGGAATTCCTAGCAGCTGGCCTGAGGATTGTGAGGTCAGCAAAGAGGTAAGGATGACAGGGCCAAATGGTGAAGGGCCTTGTGCTGAGATGTTAGACTGTCTTCTGAGGGCAATGGGGAGCCACTGAATCATGTATATCCAGGGAGGTGGCATAACTTGAGGTACACTCATAGATCACAATATTTCTTCATTTTAAAGATGAGTCAGAGGCCGGGCACAGCAGCTCAGGCCTGTAATCCCAGACCTTTGGGAGGCTGAGGTGGGCGGATCACCTGAGGTCCAGAATTTGAGATTAGCCTGACCAACATGAAGAAACCCTGTCTCTACTAAAAATACAAAATTTGCCGGGTGTGGTGGCGCATGCCTGTAATTCCAGCTACTGGGAAGGCTGAGGCAGGAGAATCGCTTGAACCCAGGAGGCGGAGGTTGTGATGAGCTGAGATCGCGCCATTGCACTCCAGCCTGGGCAACAAGAGCGAAACTCCAACTCAAAAAAAAAAAAAAGATGAGTCAGGAACCAGACATGTGTTCCTCCCAACTCAGCCTCCCAAGTAGCTGGGACTACAGGCTACAGGCACAGGCCACTACACCTGGCTTTTTTTTTTTTTTTCTTGAGACAGAGTCTCGCTCTGTAGCCCAGGCTGGAGTGCAGTAGTACTATCTTGGCTAACTGCAAGCTCCGCCTCCCGGGTTCACGCCATTCTCCTGCCTCAGCCTGCCAAGTAGCTGGGACTACAGGTGCCCACCACCACACCTGGCTAATTTTTTGGTATTTTTAATAGAGATGGGGTTTCACCGTGTTAGCCAGGATGGTCTTGATCTCCTGACCTGGTGATCCACCCGCCTCCACCTCCCAAAGTGCTAGGATTACAGGTGTGAGCCACCGCGCCCAGCCATGGCTTTTTTTTTTTTTCCCCCTATGTTATCCAGGCTGGTCTCAAACAATGTTCCCACCTCCGCCTTCCAAAATGTTCAGATCACATGCTTGAGCCATTGCGCAGGGTCCTCTCTGTTCGTTTCCTTTAAGCATACAGCACAACTTGCAATGATATATGTGTTTAGTTATTTCAGGTCTATTTCCACTACTAGATGGGAAACTCCATGAGGGCGGGGATGGTATCTGTCTCACTCATGGTTGATCTTCCTTGTAATGTGTCTGACGCACGATCAACACTGGTTTAATAAATACTGTCCCTGCCAGGAGCAGTGGCTCGCAACTGTAATCCCAGCACTTTCGGAGGCTGAAGCAGGTGGATCACTTGAGGTCAGGAGTTCGAGAGCAGCCTGGCCAACATGGCGAAACCCCGTCTCTACTAAAAATACAAAAATTAGATGGGTGTGGTGGCAGGCACCTGTAATCCCAGCTACTCAGGAGGCTGAAGCAGGAGAATCACTTGAGCCCAGGAGGCGGAAGTTGCAGTGAGCTGAGATGGTGCCACTGCACTCCTGCCTGGGTAACAGAGCAAGACTCCGTCACAATAAATAAATACACGCTGTCCCCACTCAATGTCTTCCAGTTCTCTACATGCTGTGACTGCCACTCCAGCCTGCCCTGCCACCTTTTCTTATTCCTTTCCTGCCTAACTTAAACTCAGCCCACACTGAAGACTCCCGCTTCTCCAAACCCCTCCCCTCTCCATCTTGTTCTTTGTTCATTGTTTCTTCCACACAATAGAGCTCCTTTAAGGATCATCTCAAGCATTGTGACACATTTTCTGATCCCCAATACATGATCTGTCCCTGCTTTGAACCCCAAAGTATTTTGTAACTAATGATACTCCTATCCTGCCTTGCCTTAATCCTCACTTCCAGAGTAAGAGGGTGCTGATAACAACAGGGCTGAAAACCACGACCCTATAGTAATTTTTAAAAAATCTCAGTACTTTGGGAAGCCGAGGCGGGTGGATTGCTTGAGGTCAGCAGTTCAAGACCAGCTTCGCCAATATGGTGAAACCCCATCTCTACTAAAAATACAAAAATAAGGCATGGTGGCATGTGCCTATAATCTCAGCTACTTGGGAGGTTGAGGCAGGAGAATCACTTGAACCCAGGAGGTGGAGTTTGCAGTGAGCCAAAATCGCACCACTGCACTCCAGCCTGGGCAACAGAGTGAAACTCTGTCTCAAAAAAAAAAAAAAAAAAAAAAAAAACTAAAAACAGGCCAGGTGTGGTGGCTCATACCTGTAATCACAGCACTTTGGGAGGCCAAGGCAGGCGGATCACCTGAGGTCAGGAGTTTGAAACCAGCCTGGCCAACATGGCAAAACCCCGTGTCTACTAAAAATACAAAAAATTAGTTGGGCATGGTGACGGGCACCTGTAATCCCAGCTATTCAGGAGGCTGAGGCAGGAGAATCGCTTTAACCCAGGAGGCAGAGGTTGCAGTGAGCCGAGGTCGCACCACTGCACTCCAGCCTGGGTGACAGAGCAAGACTCCATCTCAAAATAATAATAAAATTAAAAACCTAGTATGCATCAGAACCACAAGATGAGCTTATTAAAATACAGATTCTCAGGCCCAAAAGAGTGCTTCAGTAGGAATCTGCATTATTCCAAGCATTCTTTATGACTTTGATGCCCACCAGGGTAAGAACATTATAAGTTAACTTGAAGTGAACAGAATCCCCAGACCTAAGCCTCACTGATTAAATCTTAGGAAATGGAGGGCGTTCAGAGGTTAAATCCCTACCCTTCCTCCTCCAAGAGGTTAGATGAACAAAGACTCCAAAGTTTATTTGCCTTTCCTTTTTAATCCTCTTCTTACTCCAGCTGTTTTTAAAAAACTGCCCAGAAAACCCAGTAATTAAGCAAAAGGGAGCTCAAAGAGCCAAGGCAAGCCAGCCCAAGAGCAGCAGGGTCCCTCCCGCAGGGGCCAAAGTCTGGATGCTGGGGTCTCCACTCAGAGCCTGGTAGTAAAAGCTGGTGCAGAATAAGGTCGTTCCGGAAGCTAGCAACAACCCGGCCTGAAGGAGACACAGCACAGAAAACAGGATTGTAAGAACAGGGCAGGCTGAGAGGGAGTGTGTGGGGCTTGGTCAGGGTTAGGCACAGGGAAAGATTACCCAGAAGGGCTTTCTGCAGTGGGGCACCCCTAACAGGGCCAGGCTATGTAAGAAGTGGTGTTTGTTGGCCTTTTCAAACAGCTGTAAGAAAAAGAAACGAAGGGATATCGTAGGCAATACGGGTGTCTGAAATCCCCTGATGATACAAGGGACCAAAGTACATTCCTCCGCCCCACCCTTGAAGTCCCAGCTTGACTTCAGGCCTTTGGCTTACAGAGCCTTTGGCCTTTGCTGCTCCAGAGATCCGCGGCTCGCCCCCGCCCTCCCCGCCCACTTCCCCCAGGGACCCCAGACTTTATGCCTTCGTAGACCCGCGAGTCAGGGAGCCCCAGCGCAGTTACTTCACCTCCTTCCCGTAGGCATCTGGGAATTGGGCGCCTGTGGAGAAAAGAAGCAAAGGTTACCGGTCCTAGTGCCAGCCCTGACCGCCCCCAATCCGGGGGGCCCAGGTGGACATTGGCGAGAAACGGCACCACCCCCTCCCAGGAAGCTTCCGATTGGTAGGAACACGCTCGGGCAGTACTGGGAACCAATTGGACCCAGCTGGGGGACTTTAAAAGGTTTAGGGCTCCGCGGGCAGTCGGATAACCGGGAGGCTGGGCACTTCCTATAGGTTCCGCCCTTGCAGCAGACCCCGGAGGACGCCCCAAGCACAGTCCCAGCTTCGTCCCCAGCCCCCTGACCGTGCGCCCCGTAGGAGGCCAAGCCTAAGGCCGCAGCTCCGGACAAGGCGCCCAAGCGGCGGAAAGCTGCAGCTGGCCCGGCCATAGCTGTAGAACAGGACGCACCACACCAACACCGCCTAGGCCACCCAAGAGGCCAGCCAATCCCGGCCGCCCATGCAAATAAGGTTCACAGGCGCCCAATGCGGGCCGTGTTCATTTCAGCATTGAGCTCTTCACCCGCCTTTGTAAAACCGCTGCAGAGTGGCGAAGACGTCTGGCGGGCGGAGAAACCAGCACCAATTAGGAGCGGAGGAGCTAAGCAGTGGGGGGCGGGGTTGAGGGCGGGACTAGGGGATTTGCGTCACGGATTGGCCCACTTTCCAAGTTGATCGCGTCTTCGAACCCCCCCAACCCCCTGCTCCGGCCAATTTCCAAAGATCCCGGTCTTCTCTCAAAGTTCCGCCCCCTTTCCCACAGGCTCCTCCTGTTCAGCTTCAAATCAAACCCACTCCCAAAAAGAGGCGGCCCCAAAGATAGCAAAGCCCCTCCTATTGCCAGTAAACCCCGCCCACTGCACAGATGGCTCCTCCCCCATGCCTGAAGGCTCCGCCTTCTTTGTATGATGCCCCGCCCCCTGTAGTTAAGATTTTTCTCCCCCCCACCCCCCCGAGACCGCGAGAGCCCCGAGGGTGGAAGATCCTGGGGAATGTCTCCACCCTGCCTTGGCCCGCTACGTCCATCTGTCCGTCTGTCCACTCTCGCCCCCTCCCACCATCTCCAATCCCCCCACTCTCCGGAGGGCGGGCGGGCAGGCGGGTGCGAGCGGGGGGTGTGCGCCGCTCTCTCGGCAGGGGGCGGGGGAGGCGGCCGCGCGGTGACGCGCGGGGCTGCTGCGGCTGCTCCGCCGGCGGATCATCACTCTCGGGCTGGGATGGACGCGGGGCGGGCGGGCCCTGGCGCGCGGAGCCAGGAGTCCGGGCCTCCCGGCTGCTGAGCATCCCTCGAAGCCTCCCCTCACCCCTGCCTTCCCTCCTAGGAGCCGCGCTGACCCCCCACCCCGGGGCTCTGGACTCGGCTCCCGCCCTCCTCTGACTCCCCGGACCTCCCCCTCCCGCCCGCCCTCGGGATCGACTAGATCCCTCCCCCTCCCCGAGGATTCCGGCTGGATCCCTGCCCCTGCACCGCGGATCCTGCGCTCCCGGGCCCCGGGCCCCTGGGGATTGCCGTGGACTCCTCCTCCAGCACCCGATCCTTAGGATCCTCCGCCTGGACCGCCTTCTGGTCCCTCGAAGCCGGCCCACGGAACCAGTGGATCCTCAGTCTAGTCCTGTCCCGTTGTCCCCTCCTTTCTCTATCGTCCCTACTGCGGGGTTCCCTGTTCTCGGGCTCCCCCGATCCCATCCCCTAGCTCTCCTTTTCCCGGGGATCGACTGGATCCCGGCCCCGCCCCCCGGGGCTGGGGCGATCCCCCTCCCCCGCCGGGTGAGGCGCTGCGGGCGGGGGCTGGGCCTGCGGGGCCGCGGGGGCTCAGAGGCCGCCGCCCCCTCCCGAAGGCCGTTCGCCCCCCACTGGAGCCCTGGATGGAGGCACCACGGCCCCAGGGCTGAGCCAGGTAGGACCTAAGCCGGGCCGGTGGAGGGGGCTGCGTGGCGGTCCACTGGGGTCTCCCTCTCCCCATCTCCCTCCCTGCGCCTGGTTTCCCTCAGCCTGCTCTGTCTGCGTGTCTCCGCCTAGGGATGCTCTCGCCGTGTCTCTGCGTCTTGGTCTCTTTGTCTCTGCCTCTCTCCAGTCCATGAATGATCCTTTGAATGGGCCCACAGACCCCGTGTGTTCCCATCTCCCCCTCCCCCTCCTTCTCCCCTTCCCGGCCAAGCCATTTTCACCACTGCAGGAAGGGGGGGCCTGCGGCCTGAGCCCCCGTCCCTCAACTCTCCCCGGCTGGGGGAGTCAGGCCTGGGCAGGAATGGAGAGAGAAGGCAGAGGGATGGGGAGAAGGAGGAGGGAGCAAGATGTGGCAGACAGAGATGGGGAGAGAAAATGGGGGAGACAGAGATGGGGAAAGACAGGAGAGAGAGACGGAAGGCTTGAGGGGGAAATTTGGGGAAGGTATTTGGAGGAGAGAGAAAGAAATGAGAAACACCAAAAAGAGAGATACAGAAGAGAAAGATGTAAAAAGACCGAGGGTGAGAGACTGAAGGCAAGAGCTGGAGCAAGCTGGAAGAGGCCCAGGAAAGATGCTCCCAGGGAGCGCTACGGAGAGGAGAGAGATGGGGGGGCCTCCAGTGGGAGGGAAGGAGGGAGCGGAGCTGGCTGGTGGGAGGAGGCCAGGGGCCCAGAGTACCTTCAGGAGGAGAGGGTGACTGAGGCAGATCTTGTTGTGGGGAGGGGGAGGGGGCAGCAAGGCCATGGTAACTGGCCCAGTCTGGCACAGGAAAAGGAGATCCTGGGGGAATCAGCCCTGAGCCACCTCCAGGTGATGGGGGAATAGGAGCCTTAGAGAAGCTGAAAGGCAGGGGGCATGACTGGGTGTGTGTGGTAAGGATTCCTGTGTCCTCATCTCTGGAATAAATTGACACCTGCAGAGAGCCACCCGCGGGCTGGCGCCTGGCTCTGAAAACCCCGCGTCAGCAAACAGCTCTGGCGGCTGGTGGGGGGACGGGGCGGGGGGGGCTTGCCGAAATGACCTGGGTGTCTGCCCCTCTGCTCTGATCTTTTCCCTTGGCTGGCCCCTGCTGCCCTGAGCACCCAGGCATCAGAGCAGCAACTGTGGGGGGGCGGGCAAGGGGAAGGGTAAGTGAATGAATGGGTTGGGATGGGAAGAGAAGAAAGCTAAGGGTTGCCCCCAGGACATGGGCCACAATGGCTGGCAAAGATGAAGAGGTGGTGGGGTCCAAGGTTGCTTGAAATTGCTGGAGGGGGCAGTCAGTAGGCTCCTGTGATGTCTTCTGGAGCCCACCTCAGCACCCCCTCTCCCCAGCCAGAGGCCTGGTCACTAATGCTAGGCTCTGATTGGCCAACAGGCAGGGCTTTTAGCGTTCTTAGTGCCCCCAATCTCCCCTTCCTCTCAACATATGTACTTCTTCCTCTATGCTAAGGTTGGGGGGAACTCTTGCATTCTGACTTATGCCTCTGCCCTCCCCTTCATGCCCTGAATGGACTCCCAAACCAAGCCAGCCCCTTCCAGTCTTCCTCCAGACCCCCCCTCCAGGGTTAAAGCTGCAGCCCGTTGCCGAGGTAACATTGCGGGGCAGCATCCCGTCACCCGGCAACCGGCTGCAGGATCACGCATCTGTCCCTGGATTTGCCCCTCCAGCGTCCCCTCCCTACTCTAACCCCAGTCTCAAGGTACCCCAACTTCTGAGGGAGGAAATGGAGAGAGTCTGGGGAGAGAGGGATCCTGGGCAGCACAAATCCTTAACGAATGGTGTGTTGAAATGGGGATAAGGTGCTGGGTTTGTGCAGTCCCAAGAAAGGCCTGAGTCTGGCCTGGGGTGGGGGTTCAGCACCATGAAATTACAGCTCAGGAGTAATTAACACGTATAAACAAACCTGCCACTTCCTGCTGATTAATGACTTGGTATTTTTATTTTCTCCTCCTTGTCTACCTCATTCCCTCCCAGGGAGGTGGGATCTGGGACTCCTGAGTCCCTGAGGATTGCCTGCCTGGGAGGGATACATCAGCTGGAAGGGTGCATGCTGGGTCTGGGGAGCTGACTCGCCTCTCCTCTGGCTGGGCCCTGGACTTGAACCACATCTGGGCCCCACCCCCAGCCTTGGCGCCTGCTGAGGGGAGAAGGGCTGCTGGGTGGGAGTGGGGAGGTGTCAGGGGGCCTGTGGGTGGGAGAAGGGGGCAACTTGGTCTGAATTCCAGGTCACTAACCACTTCTCTCTTCTGTTTCCCCGTTCCTTTCTGTCTGCCCCATCCAATTTCCCTTCCCCTCGGCCACCTCTGTATTTTTCTGTCTGTCCGTCTGTGTCTGTCTGTCGGTGTCTGTCTGTCTGTGTCTGTCTGTCTCCTGCCGCCCTGCCCTTCTCGCTCCACCTCCCGCAGGTCGGGCCTGCCTTCACCTTCTCCCACCTCCTTCCCCTTCCCCACCCCGTGCCCCCTCCATGGAGAGGAACAGACCCCTTCTCTGTCCAGTCTAACCCAGGTCCCTCCCCACCCCCCTCCTCCCTCCTTTCCCCCACCCCCTCCTCCCTCCTGGGGCGAGGGGGGCCTCCCTCCCTCTCCCCCCCCTTCTCTCTCTCTCCGAGGGGGGGGGTCCCGGGGAGGGAGGGGGGGTCCCCCGATCAGCATGTGGCTCCTGGCGCTGTGTCTGGTGGGGCTGGCGGGGGCTCAACGGGGGGGAGGGGGTCCCGGCGGTGGCGGCGCCCCGGGCGGCCCCGGCCTGGGCCTCGGCAGCCTCGGGGAGGAGCGCTTCCCGGTGGTGAACACGGCCTACGGGCGAGTGCGCGGTGTGCGGCGCGAGCTCAACAACGAGATCCTGGGCCCCGTCGTGCAGTTCTTGGGCGTGCCCTACGCCACGCCGCCCCTGGGCGCCCGCCGCTTCCAGCCGCCTGAGGCGCCCGCCTCGTGGCCCGGCGTGCGCAACGCCACCACCCTGCCGCCCGCCTGCCCGCAGAACCTGCACGGGGCGCTGCCCGCCATCATGCTGCCTGTGTGGTTCACCGACAACTTGGAGGCGGCCGCCACCTACGTGCAGAACCAGAGCGAGGACTGCCTGTACCTCAACCTCTACGTGCCCACCGAGGACGGTAAGGGCGCGGGCACAAAGCCGGGCACCCTGTGGACACAGCCCACAAACGCACATGCAGACCCTCAGGCACTGGCACCGCTCTGGGGCTCAGAGCTGGGCCTTTGTGGGGGCAGTGAGGGACAGAGCGTCCTGCAGCCTCTACGTGCCCCCTGAGGATTGTAAGGGTGCCTCCAGGCAGTCCCAGGCACACACCCTGCAGACAGCTGCCCCATAAGACCCACAGGGGGTCATGGTAGGGATAGCAGGCACTGGTCTAGGCTCACCCACTCTCTCCCCAAAGAGGCACAGTCTGCCAGCCAATCTCAACCTGGACACGGAGGGGGAATCAAGTGATCCACCCTCTGCTCAGACACCCACTCCAACCTTGCCCCACCTCCCGCTGCCAGACCTGAGCTTGTTCCTGGCAGAATACCCAGG